TGGTTTTAATGGGGGCCAAAGATCCGCAAATTGTGCACGCACTTTGCAAAAGTCGTGCAAATATTATTTTTAAGACTGTATTTCTTCAAAAAATAATGTAGGGATAAATATTTATATACTTACAAGAGGATTGTTTAGTGCAATTTGCTGCACGTTCATTTCATTCGCGAGAGACTCCATTTCAAAAATGTTTATCTTATTTCGAAACGGGGAAAATATTAGTTCGCATCCCAAGTAACCTCAATGCGAATTTACTGCGAATCCCAGTGCAAATTTGTGCAATTTTTGTGCATAAAAATATGTAATCATTAATTTGTACAAGATTTGTGCAAAATTTGTATGAATTTATGTGCTGTTAATAAATTATCACACGAAATCCACCAAACTATCGCAAATTAATAAGTACCAAATTATTATAAAGGAACTAGTAAAAATTTAGTGCGTATTTGTTGGCACTAAATTCTCATGAGATTGTTTGCACTAAATTCATGCATAATTCGTACTCAGGAAATTGTACAAATCCAAATGCTGTAAACATGTACAAATATCTTCACAAAAAATTCGTATAGATTATTCTGCATTATTTTAGTACTAAATTCTTATCATTTCTCTATTCTCCGTTAAATAAACCAAACACAAGCCAGTCACTCTTTTGGCCTTGTGGTAATATCAACTCAAGGATTTCTTCTCTATTTTTTATTTCCAACCAAAGGTTTATTAGATAGATACGATTGATCCTATTTCGGATAATTTGAAAAATCTTTGAATTATTGGAGTTTGAGATTGACCAAGGGGAGGAGGTTTTTCCATCTATGTGGATTTCCAAGGATAAAACTCCTACTCGTATCCCCAAGGGGTTTTCCTGTTTTAAAAGTGACCCCTGCGCTCTCCCCGGAAAAGATTGGACGAGTTATGGCATATTATATGCCGGACCATACGGTATTGTTTTTTCTTAGCTAATTTTATGTACATACATATGCAGTTTACTTATACGAAGGGAATTAAGGTATTTACTAGATTCGGAAGAGAAGGCCATCAAGCAATTGAAAAAAGTTCACAAAAAATAAATCCATCGACTCTAGTGACAAAGACAAATCCAGGCCCAAAATTATCAGAGACTGAGGTGAATACTTTAGCAGTCCCTGGCACTTATTTGTACTGCGAAGGTAAGCAAAAGAGAATTAATTATTGTAAAAATAAAGTAAATGAATTTGCAATAAATAAACAATTGAAATTTAAGTAAAACAATATGTGTAAATGAATGTGTATTAATTTCATACGTATCATTAGCACACAATTAGCACTAAACTCGCACTAGATTAGTACTAAATTCGCATCATATTAATACATATTAATTATCACCAAATTCGCATCAAATTCGTACATTCTTGTTTGTGTAAATTTTGTACAAATAAAGTTGTATTGACAATATTTTGGTATGAATTTTGTATCTGCGACTTGTACAAAATTAGTACGAAACAGCTTCACATTTTAACGGTGAATATGCATTAATCCATTGGTACAAATTTACTACATTATTTGCAGATTTTGGCTCGTCGGGATAGTTAAAAATCACAAATATTGAGGCGATTCACTTACTTGGTAAGTCGTGCAATTCTTGTCCTTTATACAATAATTTTTACAAACTATCCAAAAACAAGGAGACGCTATGGGTTAAGGTAAGGAATTCATGCATTAAATATAAATTAATGGTGCCCAGCTTTATTTTTAGTCCGTAGTTACCGGCGGTCACATTGCTTGAAATAAAAATGACGACATGTTCAATGTACGGCCCGTTGCGATTGCTCTACACAGAAAGGGTTACTTTCTTTGTTCATGAGCATGTGGGTTTTTAGAAATATTTTTAACATTGTTAACCCTTTGGCTTTCCAAGTCTTAGAGATTCATGTACTCCCATAGACTGGAATATATATACACATACTAAATCTGTACATACACTCTAAATCATAAGTATGTAAAATCTACTCAATGTTAAATATGTAAAAAAGAATAAATCAATTGGTAAAATTTATTCAACCGTTGTGCAAAATTTGTCCGAAGTGGGTAAATTGTACACAACGTTAGTTAATTGGAACCTTTTGGTTGCGGCACCTTCTTTTTAAAATAGAGATAAATACATATATATAAGGAGAGACTTTTCGTCTTGCAACGATTTTCGAGTTTGGTGGCTAAAATTTGCGTAATTTGTTTAAACAGTGAAATTGCAAGTGCGATTTAATCTGCAGGCTCAATTAGATTGCTTAATTTATTAATTTTGTACTATTTGTATTATCATGTTTACCATCTCTTTCTTCGTTGTAGCTGCAGGATAATTACCTCCACCCAACTTATTGATATTATTCCTTTCTAAGTAAAAGATAATTCTCATTTCTGCCACGAGCACTACCTCCATTTACTTTATACCATCCATTTCTACCAATTTAATTAGATATGATGATCCCTAAAAGACAAGTAAGACTGAGAAAATAACGTGACGTGGACGTGCGTAGTCGAGGTACATATTTAGATTATATTTTCAGTAGCTCTTGGTAATTCTCTGGACCAAGTAATATATTAACTCTCACTGGTGACAATGTACCGCACACACTATCTCCCACTTTTAAAGCTACAGTTACGAGTATGCAAATTCGTAAAATGCCTTCCGTTCGAATATAACAAGAAATCAGGGCTCGTTGTTAGAACACGGAATGCACAACAAATTCGCATGTTCAAAAGGCAGAGCATCCTTGCCGTTATCTATACTTTCGCAATGTTTCTGCACGTCTGTTTTGGTGGGTTAACTTTACCACAAAAATTCCAGGGATCGCTATTTTTAGTAATGAACCTACTGCTAATGGCCACACAATGGAACTACTCCCTGGACCCATCTGCAGGACAGATAGTGAACTCGTTTATCAATTTTGAAAAACAAATTCTGAAAGGTTCTATATAAATATTTCTGCCCATTACTAGACCTATACCAGCTTACTTTTTCAGGTCTCTCAAGTGCACCGGACACGTTGGGATCAAAGTTAATGAGTCTTCATTCCTGTTGCAACCATTTCCCTCACTATAATCCCAATTCTCGAACTGCTCCTCTTGCTGTTTGTCCCCTGCATGCCACCCTTACTTCTCTCAATGTCGGCGAACTGCGAGGACTATTATGCTAACGGCAATTTCGTACAATTTGGGATACGACTGTTTGAGACGTGGATGCAGTGGCACATGCTCCTATCTGGGGGTACCTGGGTTGTGTTCATCCTGTTTGTCGGAGTCATCTGCTTCGTGACCTACTTTCGTGTCCTGTATAGGTAAGACGTGTATGATCACAGGCGAAAGTGGTTTACTCTACTATTGATTTTCTTCGTATAGCCAAATATCCGGGATTGAAAAAAGTCAGGATATGGATGCCTGCATTCGCCTCTACAAATGCATACAAGTTTTAGAGAAATCATTCAATGACTTTCTTATGATCAGGATAGTGCCAGCACTGCTGATATTTTCACCAGGACTTCAACTAATTGTTCAGTACGTGTGTATTAATCATCACAGGGATATACCTATGCCAGGCTTTCTGGTATTTCCCCTCATTGGCGGAGATGCTGGGATAAATAACATTCTTGTTTTCACGCTCGCGTCTGGCATCAACATCGCATCAGAAAGAGCAATTCAAGGAATGAGGAATAAGGTAATTGGGTTAGAACAAGGCAAATTGTTAAGGAGACGGCTCAGAGGTTGCTCCGTGCTTAAGGTCAAATTCGGGTCGAACTTCATCGATCGTGGAACGCCGTTGGTGATTCAGAATTTCTGTATCAATCAGACTGTCGCCTTGACTTTAATTAAATCCAGTAAGGCAGCTCGTTAAGATAAGTTTTGCTCCATTAGTAGTGAAATCGATACAGCGTTCGATAAAATGATTAATTAATTTCTTACGCTAACTATGACGTAATGAATGTTTGAGCACATATATGAAGGATTAAATGAATAAAAGAGTGGAAACTCTTTACACAACTTAAGACATTGCAATAATAGATTCAAGGATGAAATATGGCAGCATTAAACCTTTGGGCCATATTAATTCCATTAATTCTGGTACATCGTAGGCATGGGGCGGTAGTTGCGATATTAATCAAATTCTAAAAAACTGAACTTTAACTTTGCAGTATGTTGGAAAATGTCAAAATTTTCGGAAAGAAAATTATTCAATAAACCATGCATTGCATACATTTCTGCATGACATATGCACAGACGTTTAAATTCAGCACTTAATTTACTTAAATCATAGTGTAGTTGCCGAAATAGTTTATTGAAACAGTATTGCAGTGAGACAAATTTTTATTAAATTTTTAGTCAAAATAATGATTTTTCCAAACTCATTTTCCATTTTAACCTGGCTTCAAAAAGCAAGGGACATGTTTGTTCCGAGTTAATTGCAGGAATTTATAAAAACATGCTTGAAATAAATTTCATCTATTTCGAACTTTTGAAAATTACAAAAAACATTAATTCTGAGAATTTATCCGTTTTAAAAAAAGTTAATTTTTAATTCCGTCCTAAAGGTCATTTTGAACAAACATGTTGTTCTCTGATTTTGGAATAAGATTGAAACATTGGAAAAGTTGCACTTAAGAAACTCTGGTTTTACTTAAAATGTCCACTAGGGGCGTAAAAGCTTTCACGAAAATGCAGAAATACGGCTACGATTACTTCCTTCCGTAAGCATTTAAAATTTGCCCGGGAAAAATCGGGGAAAACAACTGCATGCTTGCTAATTGTGAGTAGGGGTGTGGCTGGATTTGTGCGTGTACAAAACCTTAATAAAAAAAATTCTGCATATTTATTTGTCCAAACATGCAAATTAGAATAAGCTAAAAATAAATGACAATAAATTATGTACATAATGTAAAGTATGTAAATCATAAAGAAATTAATAATCATTGTCATTTATGAATTTTACTAGCAAAATTATGAATTAAAATTAAATACGTTAATAAGTAGTAAATTTGACAAAATTTTTCCGTTCCATATTCGCAAGCCATGTACACCAATTCAAATAAATGTATATCCACCAAACCTGCACATTAGCATTATGCATTGAGGCTGCACTAATTGTTCTAAAATGGTAACTTTATTTTTAAGAGTGGTGTAACACTTTCTAAATACACTCTAATACGCATTTTAAAGTATTTAGTTGTATACTACATAATATTTATTACAATAATTTGTATGGAAATAAAGTTCATCAAATAATTAAGCTAAATTTATCTGTAGGTATCCATTTACCTATTAAATTAGCCTTGCCGCCAATATGTTTAACTGTGTAGTATTCTTGTAAACAATATTATATTTTGCCCTCAAAACCGCTCGAAAGTACATGCATATATACATATGTACATATTTAGAATACGTGCACAAGTCCATGAATGAAATTAAATTTTGTACGTAACTATGTGTTTGATATGAAGATTATGGCAGGCCAACCTATAAAATACCAACCATAAGTTGATTTTTAATCCCGAGGTAAATTAGTGGTTGCCACTAATCGGTCCGCAGTAGGTTAAACTTGTAGAGCGACATTGCATTCGCCTCGATGAAAGCGACCAAATTTTCAACGGATTTCTTGCTCAGCTGTAAACAATATGCATAAAAGCTGCTTTAACGAAAGCTTTCATAATTAGCCAAGTTTAGGTATAAATTGTTCTTACAATGAGATTTGTAATTTTGACCTCGTCCATTCCATCCATTGCTAATAAAAGCTGCTTGAAAAGGTCCAGCTCCTCCAGGGTCAAATCATGCCTCAAAAAATTTCCATTGTACGTCTCAATTTGCAAAGTTCTCAGACCTGAAATTGAAAAATTGACCATTTTTCAACTTTGACCTCAAATATTTTGACAAATTCTGACCATCGCATAAACTCCCTCAAGAAACGTTGGTTGTATTGACATGGACCACATAATTTGAAAAGTTCAACCACATCGAAGTGTTGCACTTCTCACCATCGCATTGTTCGGTAAATTTATATTATCAAAACTGGTTTACCTGAGTAAAAACGTCACTGCCATTCTATTAATCAACTCAATGACTATAAATTTATCTTCCGCAATTTCTAAATAAACTCCTTAAGCAAGGAAACAATTCAAAACGTGACTTAGAAGATTTTAGAGATGACTCATCCAGTCCGTAGTTAAAAAACCTTATACAAATCAATAACTAACTAGGTATACTATTTAGGTGGGCGGAGAGTTCAGATATCCCACCATATGCAAATATTGCACACTGTATCGGTGTGAAACAATATCTAAAAATTTCCATGTTAAAATCACTTTTGAAAAAGTAATGACGATTTTAGCGACGCAAACCTAGGAATTATCTCAGCTTTAATAAGGGTGACATTTTTCCTTTTGACCTCCTTTACGGATTACACTCTCTCTCCACCTCTGGCGAAGACATTGTTTCACTACGGTTCTAGTCATTGTCATAAACAGCCGTCCAAAATGTCCAAAATGCACAAAACGTGTCCGAAATAGGAAATGGGCAAAAATGTTTCAATTTATTTATTACATTTTTTTGAAAATCTAGGCAGATATATTTTATTCTCCTTGTTAAGTCGTTTTGAGCATTTATGTATACAGTGTTATTTGGAATTTTTTGCTTAAATATGATTTCTTATGAGAAATTACGAAATTTTCCAAATAATGCTGTATTACAATTCAAAATTCTCATAATTAATGGGAAATTGCATATCTTGGCAAATATTTGAAAAACGTGGTGATACCTAACGAAAATTTAACATTTTAGCTAATTTTCTATTTTGGACACTTTTCAATCATCTTGGACATTTTGGACGGCTGTTTTGGACAATGATTAGAACCGTAGCGAAACAATGTCTCCGCCAAAGGTGGAGAGAGTGTAATCCGTAAAGGTCAAAGCAAAAATTCCACCTTTGCTAAAGCATTGAGAAAATCCCTAGACTTGCGTCGCTAAAATCGTCATTACTTTTTCAAAAGTGCTTTTAACACGGAGATTTTTGCATATTGTTTCAAATCGATATAGTGTGCAATATTTGCATATAGTGGGATATCTGAACTCTCCACCCACCTAAATAGTATACCTAGTAAGTAAAAAAAATGAGACTCACGTTTATACAACTCCCCAACCTCCAACAGGGCCTTTATAATTTCCAAAATTTCTATCGGATACGTCGGCAGCGCCAAATCCAAATGCTTCAACCCCTTCCACCCCTTACACGTCTTCAGAACCACACCCAACTCCATCTCGCTCTCCTCCCCCTTAAAATCCGTACAATAAAACGATTCCACCTTCAACCTCTCCAAGTTAGGAAATGCCGTCACCAACCCGCCAAAAAGTTGGAGATCATGTAACTCGGTAATTTCCAAGTTTCTAACACTGCTCAAAACCTTTCTGGAATGAACCACATTTTCCAAAATTTCCTCCAATCGCCCCGACCATTTAAATCCCTTCCCAATCAATAAAGTTTTCGGAGTATCGGCATTCATCAAGAAATCGTCACATCGAAAAACTTCGACCATTTCGTTCCTAAATTTTACCAATTTCGGCATACTTCCCGGCAACTGAATTCCGATCGTGGGAACCAAATTGTCGAAATCGCTCGTTTCGTCGATGTTTTTCAGTCCAAGGATGTTCTCGACACTGCAAAAATTCAGGGTGACCAGCTGGTCACGGACTTGATCCAACATTCTGCACAGTTCTACAGGTTTATATGCTGGGTCATCGAAGTAGGATTGGTCAACGCCATCTATCGCGATTGTAAGAGACGTGAGAAACTTCGAATTTGCAAAATTTGGATAAAATCCTAACGGAATCGTGGCAACTTTCAAATTTGGCGCCGCGTCGACAAACACTTGAACAAATCTGGTCAGCATATAGGTCATGGCTTTCGAACTTAGCGTGAATAAGGTCAAATTCGGTTTTGACGGGAGCCCATTACGCATAAAGTACTCATGTTCCGGACATGAGGCTGGATTAGGCGGAAATGTGCACGTGATCCGGAGTTGTTGCAAATTCGGACGGCCACGTTTCGCAATTTTGTAGAAAGATTTTAGGCCCATTTCGTGATCAATGATGGCCTCGAAAATTTGAATTTTGTCGCCATAATTGTTACAGAGGTAGATTAGTTGCAAGTCGTCGAAGCCGGCGTCCCAGCCGAAAAGCCTGACATGAAAGATGTAGATGGCGTTAACTCGTTTTGCCAGGCGGTCATCGATTGAAGTGAAGAATTTCTTAAAGTTACGATCGTCCTCAGGGGCGTTGGGGATGGGTTCATAGTTCATCTTTAAGGCGAGCCTGGGATATGGGAGGGACAGGACGGTTTCGTTCCATAAGTGGGAAACGAGGCGGGCTTCTTTTAAAGGGGCGGGGTTCTGTTTCAGTATTGCGGTTAAAATCTGGAAAATTTAGATATTTTGTGTGTAAATTGCTATAATGTTTAAAATTAGTTGCTATGATGGAGGAAGTTTCGATTTCTGATAATGTGCGTAATTTTCATATTTATGGAACTTTCTGCACTGCAGGCCAAAATTAGGACATGTAAAATCTGCTTTTCTTATTTTAAAACTATTTTGAAACCGGTTCCCAATTTCATTCAAAACAGGTCTTACAATTTTCCAGAAAAAATAGTTTTGTAAATCACCGGTTTTTAAACACTGTAAGACCGGTCCTCGATATTTAATCAAGCATGCACTTTTGGATTTGCAAACTTGTTAAAATTTGCACTACAAATTTCCAAACCTGATTTTAAAAACCGGTTTAAAATTAATTTCTCCCAGAAATGAACACCGGCTCGAATAAATTTTCAAAAACATGGTATTTCAAAATCTTCCGATTTTAGATGCCCTAGCCTAAATGTGCTAATTATCTACAAATATCTACCAATTAAATTTTGATTAAAAATCGATTATTTGCTTACGATCGGATTATCCAGTGCGAACTGAAGCACGTTTCTTTCCTGTTGAGGCGAATCCATTTTAGCAGATTGGCAATGTTGACAGGTAATACTTTCCTAGGATTATTAAGTTAAAACAATTGCATTTAGGGAATTATATGCATTTCGGAAAAGTGGTAGGAACTGCTACATACATAGTGGGGTCATAAGTTCTCGTGAATGCATTTCCGGTAATAAATCCCAAAGTATTAGAGCTATCTGTTCGAAATTTTTATGGATTAACAAGGTATTAATATTGTTTAGAAATCATAACTTCTTTGTCAAGATTTCGTCCACGGGCAATTAGACAAGACATAACTCGTGACGGCCACAGGTTGATCGTGGTACGCGCCAATTTTCGTGCAAAAAGTATTTCAGACTTTTCACCGTTGGCAAAAAATTTAATAGAAAAAAAGGCCAGATATTTGTTGTACAGAAGTCTGACATCCGTTTAAGTATGCGGAAGTCAATACGAAGTCATCACCGTGGTGTGCATGGGAGCAAGTTGGCTGGAGAAATGAAATCTCTGTTTTTTACCGCAAGGGGTACAAGTTGAAGCCAAGAATTATTTTCAGAGTGTCCTAAAGCCAAACGTTAATAACCTGAACCCTGGACCCTCCGAAAATCGACATTGGACCTTTCAACAAGACTCTGTTCCTGCGCAAGGTGCAAAATTGTCCAAAACTGGCTTCAGACGAATTTTCATGACTTTTTTTCATCCGTAGAACGGTGCTCAGTATCTGCAGACCTTAATCCCCTAAATTATGACTGGTGGTGAAAATTATAGGTACAAGTATGCTCTAAATTTCACCCAAGTGTGGAAGGGCTGAGGTCGCACTTACTGAAGATCTGGCGCTTTTCCCAGGAAATCCGTGCGTGCCGCGATCGAGCAGTTTTCGCCACGACTTATGTCTTGTGTACAAGCCCGTGGAGGAAATTGTGAAAACGAAGTTATGATTTCTAAACAAGATTAATACCTTGTTCATCCACAAAAATTTCTATCAGATAGCTCTAATACTTTGGGCTTTATCACCGGAAATGCATTCACGGGAACTTATGGTCGGACTATGTACATACATACGCTTGTAAATCGCACAAAGTACAATTACAAAAATAAATAAACTAACCTTCAATATCACTCAATTTCCAGATTTGGAATGAATTCAAGGTTTTTAGATAACTTGAACAAACTGTTAAATGCGTTTTATTATCAGTGTGTTGGGAACATTCGTCGCACAAATCGTGAAACTGAATGGGTAATAAATGACTTTGTACAAGTTGCTTGCTGGATATTTAGTGTGCATTTGAATACTTATGTATATTGAAATGTGAAAGTATGTACATATTTTGTCTGGGTCATATGAAATATAAATACTCTGAAATTGGGGCATTATTGCACTCTTAGAAATGGGGTTACGATTATAACCAAAATGTAAACGTATATGACTCTACCGCCGTGGTTATAAATTTGTCACCAACTGGCTATAAATTTATTAGCTCTGGTGACAATTTAATACCAAGTCGGTGAAACTTCGTAGTTAGCCGGTGACAATTGTACCCACTCTATGAAAAATTTATAACCACGGCGGTAGAGTCATATACTTTTACTTTTTGGTTATGCATAATTGTAACCCAATTTCTAAGAGTGTGGAAAATCTCACCCTTTTGATACGGTCCCTTCCTTTGTACAAATACATGGATATGTACCCTTTTCACTGGTCAGCCCTTTGTTATGAACACCATTCTTTAAACGGGAACGTATATACCCTTCATGTTACCTTTTTGAAGGGTAAAGGCACTCTCAATTCTAAATCAAGCAAGCTATACAAAATCCTGAGTAAGGTTAACTTCATAAAAGGACAACTTTACCCCGCATTTTGTATAGTTTACTGCATACAGATGTATGTAGGCATGACTGCGTTTACTGTTCAAAAGGGTAGCATTATTTATTGAGAGTGATATTATTTGACGAGATGAGGCGAGATGAGACGTGATGGGACGAGATGAGACGAGACGATTTAGTTAGGTGAACATGTAAAATCTCATGCATAAAAATTTCAGATACAAGGTACACACTTGTATTGGGGTTATGTAACTCTTATCAGCTGAGATTGATTGGTTTTACGGTGGTCAGTTATGCTATTACTTCACTGATTACTGATCTAATGCAAATATGTATGCACACGAGGGTTCTTTTCGCGCACTCTAAATAAAGTTGAGTAAAACTAGTCGAGTAAAATGAAGTTGGTCAAATTTTGTACTTCATGAGAGTAAAATTTACACAACAAAGTTGAGTAAAGCAGGTTTTAGCCAACCTTGAGCAAAATTTGACTTTTTTGCTGATTAAGTATAAAACTAATCAATGTTGGGTGAAAAATGCCAAAGAGTTGATCAATTTTTACTCAACATTTGAGTAAACCTACTCTGTCCACTTGGTGTCGCTATCAGCCACGTCATGCCGCCAGCAGGCCCCGATTTTGGGGCGGGCAACCCGGGTAACTGCCCGGGGCGCCAAACCCCTGGGGGCGCCGCTAGGCGCCCGGGTTTACACTAGATATAATTGAAAATTTTCTGTTATAAATTTTGAAAATCTTTTGCTTCGAGGTTTCAAATATTTCGATCAAGTTTGGGCAACTCATCACGAGAGTTCTGATGTGTTGATGCACTACTGCAATTTTAGAAATGCAGCTTATAAATTTTCATCCACACTCTACATAAATAGAGATAAGTAAAGTTGAGTAAAATAGAGGACGACACGATAATTGGGTTAAATTTATTCCATGGTTGTGAAAACTTACCCAACCGTTCAATAAATGATTAAACAATTGTTGTTCTAACCTCAGTTTTGCACAACGTGTAAATTCTCTAAAACCTAAATTCGAAATAGTATGCCTGAAAATACAATTAGAGTTTACGCTGGGGAAAACAAGTTGAATGACATAAAATCTGTTCTATCCTGAATTGGTTGCATAGCATCTTGAAAGTTTGCATGATCGTAGCCTAGAAAAATTATAGTTATATATATATCGTTCCGATTTTTGGGAAATGTCAAAGAGGACTCACGACGCAGATCTTTTACAATTAAAACTCAAATCTCCATGTCACCTATTTGATATTGTTTACCACACAAAATAAGCATCTCCGTACTTTTGCTTTTTTCTTAATACGCTATTTTTAGCGCTTGGCAAGAATTGTAAACTGTCGTCCAACCCAAATACCTGTTTTTGAAATCCAAAAATTCGAAGACATGTTTCACCAGAATGACTAAAATATGTACCTGACTTCAGGTGCATAACAAATCAGTTGTCTCCTAATTTGAAGTCAGAGTACTTTGCCAGTATTTGAAATTCATGAAAATTATCAAATCACTCCAATTTTTAAACAATAAAGGGTTGTGATTTAATTTCTCCCCACGTCCACGTCCTCGTCCTCGTCCCCACCTCCGTCTGCAAAAAACAAAAGCTTATTTCTCAGAACTGTGAGACGCAACGAACCAAATTTTTTCTTCAAATATACCTAAGTCCCTGATGAATCTCGAACTTAATCGTTGTTTTTGTAGTAGGTGACATCTTTCTACTTCGCTCAGACATTTTCTTGTGTATTTAAAAAATTCGGCTGGTCCGTGGCCGTATCGTTTTTTCTCCATATGATAATTTCCCCGATTTTTCTAATATTTTTAATTGTTGCAGAACTTAAGTTTTTGTCTGAACACTAAGATAGTCACGATGTATCTTTCGAATTGGACTACTCCTGGTAAAATTTTTAAAATTTAGGAAGTAAATTTTCGCGTCTCCTAAATATTCGTAAAATGTGTCATAAATAATATACAAGTTGCCTACATGTGAAACGTCTCTTAAATGAAAAAAATGTCTCATAAGTATTGACATTTTATCTCATAATATGATTAGCTATGTAAAAGCAATTCTTATCATTTTCTGCCTTATGTTCCGCACATCAAGTCCATCGCACAACATCCAAAATACTCCCAGTTTGTTTGCTAAAGGTTTTATTTGTTCTTAATAGCTTTTTAAATTAAAGTGACGTCCCGGATTCGCGCTAAAATTATAAAATTTGCAGAATTTTAAAAAACCGAGGTTTCGTTGGGAACGAGCGTAACATTTTCGCTTCGAGCTCAAATTAGCGCATTATGAAAAATGCAAAAAATTCGGGGGCGCTTTTATTCTTTATGGTGAACAAAATAAAATTGATCCTATGGAGGTATGGGTTTTACAAATAAATTGCCTGCACTGTCAGTCTTTTTGAAGGCATATTTCCAATTGCGGCATCGGTCTACAAAATATCCTGTTGTTTATAAAATTCTTAAAACCTGACGGATTTTTTATTATAAATAAATCCATTCCATCGTGCTAAAATCTCATATTTCGAATTCTTAAGAACTAGTAGGGAAAATCGTATAATTTTGTAGAACTCAACAAATTGTAAAATTATGTGAAGTCAAAAATTAGGCAGCGGCAAAATATTGGTCCAAAATAAATTTTTTAAATTGCTTTGTGGACTGATATTTAATCCAATTTATGTAGACAACGTTGAATCAAAAATCAGCAAATCCTGATTTTACTAATCTTAAAATTTGCAAAAATTTGCACATTTTAGCATGTATCTCGAAAATTTGCTTAGTGCGTCACCAATATTACCTGTATTGCGGAATATTGACTTGCTCAATATTACAAACAGTTTAAGCTATTAAACGTCATAGTTGTAGGAGCGCAAAAAGTTTGCTATCTCATTGTTTGTGTCCCTTATAATAAGGCCTGAGTCAGAAAATTTTGCGCAAATTTTTGAGTAAGAAAATAGCCACATGCGAGCGCCGAAGGCGCGAGCGGCTTGGGCCGCCTAATTTCTTTGCCCAGGTAAGATTTTGGGCTAGATCGGGGCCTGGCCGCCAGTTGGTTGTTCGAGTGACAAAATAAACATCAGTAAATTTATTCCTCTTTTTTGAAATTTACTACAATGACCCAACAATTGGAATTCTTTAAATTGCCGACCAAGTTCAATATACAGCTATTTAAGTGCAAAGGTAAAGGCATTTTGATTTAGTTTTTGCACATTTAATGATATGCTAATAGTTTTAAATTAAAATATTTATTTGTGCGTATTTTTTTTTACAGAAAACGATGTTAAAAAATAGTATTTTTAAAGTTGCTGGGCAAGTCTTCTGGATCAACGTTTGCTGAAATAATTCCATCAATTGGTCACATATTTAAATTAAGGACCACGGCTGGAGAGGTTAGTAGATTAGAAGTCAGAGTTTCTGCAGATTATTTCCTAAAATTTTAGTTTTATATGTATGTATTTAGTATTGGCGTAAGTAATATATCCAAGTATCTTAAAAATTAATGGTTTTACTAATGCAGAATTTGTAAAATGCATGAGTATAAATTCTAACAAATAAAGAGCACAATTCTTAAAAGCTAAAAATTGTATTTTAATCAGCATAAGAAGTAAACTTTGATCAACCAAAAGAGTAAATTTTAATCATTCAGTTGAGTAAAAATTCCACAACTTCTTGAGTAAAAATCCCACAACTTGTTGAGTAAATTTCACTTTTAGTTGGACAAAAAGATTACTCAACGAACTTGAGTAAAATTTGACCAACCGTTGTGTCATCCTCTTTTTTACTCAACCTTGGACAAAATTTTACACAACCTTGTAGAAATTTTCTACAACTTTCTTTAGAGTGCAACATTGCCAATCCCTGTATTGTAAAGTTTGATCCTTTTTGTGTGTTTTTATTATCGAAGAAAAAGTCAAATCATAAAATTCTGACAATACGATGGACTAAAATCTATTAGACACCCTGTAACCTTACGTAATGCCAATTACATAACCAATACATAAGTCCTAACATGACAATTTAACAAAAATATTCGTGACAAATTATCTATAATTGATTATATATAATTGATTTTAGTTGACACTCAATTGTGATCATACTTTGTAATACCTTATCTCCAAAATGTTATATAAATATGTACATGCATACATAGGGCGTACTCACGACAACTTCTTATTTCGCAGCGCAACTCGTTTAGCAAACTTGCGAAGATCAAAATATTTCTGTCGTGAGGGGATTCGCATAATATGACTTCGCAAAACTCTCCAATCTCGCAAATCTACAGAAAAACACCTACATATTTTGGTATTGTTTCCATGGATTTCTGTAATTTCTCTTGCAGAATTACTTTGCGAAATAATTTTTCGAAATAAGAACATGCTCAATTGCTGGGTAAATTTGCGAAAAAAATCCCAATCCCC